GATATTCACTGATTCACAGGAGTAGTGATATTCACTGATTCACAGACCCAGGAACAGGGATATTCACTGATTCACAGGAGTAGTGATATTCACTGATTCACAGACCCAGGAACAGGGATATTCACTGATTCACAGGAGTAGTGATATTCACTGATTCACAGACCCAGGAACAGGGATATTCACTGATTCACAGGAGTAGTGATATTCACTGATTCACAGACCCAGGAACAGGGATATTCGCTGATTCACGAGTAGTAGGATATTCACTGATTCACAGACCCAGGAACAGGGATATCGCTGATTCAAGGAGTAGTGATATTCACTGATTCACAGACCAGGAACAGGATATTCACTGATTCACAGGAGTAGTGATATTCACTGATTCACAGACCCAGGAACAGGGATATTCACTGATTCACAGGAGTAGTGATATTCACTGATTCACAGACCCAACTACAAAGCATTAGTTAAAACCAATCAGGATTTCCTTTTGCCTTGAAATCTGTGGAAATGAACGAGCAGATGTGCTGGCTACTGAGTGTGCTCTGCCTGGCCATTCTGAGTACTTGATCCCCAATATTCATCTACCAGTTACTCTTCTACTTCTACTTCTACTGTGGTAGATGAGGCAAGGAAGAAATTCTATTTACGTACGTGCAATGAAAGTCAGTGTACGTGCGTACAATGAAGCTGAAACCCCCTAATCATTATTGACGAATGTGTTCTGGGACTCTATGAACAGAGCAGCGTTCTGGGCTCTATGAACAGAGCAGTGTTCTGGGACTCTATGAACAGAGCTTTGTTCTGGGCTCTATGAACAGAGCAGTGTTCTGGGCTCTATGAACAGAGCAGTGTTCTGGGCTCTATGAACAGAGCAGTGTTCTGGGACTCTATGAACAGAGCAGTGTTAGGGCTCTATGAACAGAGCAGTGTTCTGGGCTCTATGAACAGAAACGTGTTCGGGGCTCTATGAACAGAGCAGTGTTCTGGGCTCTATGAACAGAGCAGTGTTATGGGCTCTATGAACAGAGCAGTGTTCTGGGCTCTATAAACAGAGCAGTGTTCTGGGCTCTATAAACAGAGCAGTGTTCTGGCTCTATAAACAGAGCAGTGTTCTGGGCTCTATAACAGAGCAGTGTTCTGGGCCTCTATGAACAGAGCAGTGTTCTGGGCTCTATAAACAGAGCAGGTTCTGGGCTCTATAAACAGAGCAGTGTTCTGGGCTCTATAAACAGAGCAGTGTTCTGGGCTCTATAAACAGAGCAGTGTTCTGGGCCTCTATGAACAGAGCAGTGTTCGGGGCTCTATAAACAGAGCAGTGTTCTGGGCTCTATAAACAGAGCATGTTCTGGGCCTCTATGAACAGAGCAGTGTTCTGGGCTCTATAAACAGAGCAGTGTTCTGGGCTCTATGAACAGAGCAGTGTTATGGGCCCTATGAACAGAGCAGTGTTCTGGGCTCTATGAACAGAGCACTGTTCTGGGCTCTATAAACAGAGCACTGTTCTGGGCTCTATGAACAGAGCACTGTTCTGGGCTCTATAAACAGAGCACTGTTCTGGGCTCTATAAACAGAGCAGTGTTCTGGGCTCTATAAACAGAGCAGTGTTCTGGGCTCTATAAACAGAGCAGTGTTCTGGGCCTCTATGAACAGAGCAGTGTTCGGGGCTCTATAAACAGAGCAGTGTTCTGGGCTCTATAAACAGAGCAGTGTTCTGGGCTCTATGAAAGAATCAAAGCCAGAAATTGAAGGCACTAAAGAATAAATAAAATGTTACAAAATCTACAAAATAATTTGAGTAGATAAATCGTAGATAAGAAGAAATAAGAGAAACTGAAATTAGTAGAGACTCAACAGACCTGGGCTCAATCCCCCAATGATATTGCATTGTGGGCAAGTTTATTTACCTGATGAATATCATCAAATATTATTAATAATAAATAATTCACTGAAGGTGATATTACAATTCTTAAAGTTGAACATATTGACGGAAGCGAATGTTATTGCAGACATATTCATTTCCGAGTCAAACTTTATTGCGCTAAAGCAAGTTGTTCCAAAGAATATCATGAATGATTGCTGTTTGCAATAACATGAAAATGTGTTTATTGTTATATATGTAAACATTTTTCGAAATCACCAGCAAAATTTGCACGTATATAGGACCGAGCTGTGGGCGTATATAGGACCGAGCTGTGGGTGTATATAGGACCGAGCTGTGGGCGTAAAGGATTAAATGACTGGAGGAATTGAACCAGATGTTTAACAGTTCGGTAATTAAGTTGAGACCATTTTAGATCAATGTTAACTTTCCACAAACAATTACTCGCTACCTGGCTTATAAAAAACAGTTCAAAACACTTAAAAAAAACAATTAAAAAATTGATTTCAAAGAGAAGTACAGGAGACAAGCTTTAAGTAAATCATTTCAATAGTGAAATGAATGGTGAGTTTGGGAACAGCATTTAGTAGGTACAGAAAAGAACTGTGTCTCAATCCTAGATAGAATTCCTTACGTGGCACAGAATGGCTTGCAAAACATGACAGTTTCTTGAAAAGTCATTTGTAAACTTTCAATATTGTTGACAGCTTCAATACATCTATTTCTCTCACACTGTGAGGGATGCATCTATCTATCCCACACTGTGAGGGATACATCTATCTATCCCACACTGTGAGGGATACATCTATCTATCCCACACTGTGAGGGATACATCTATCTATCCCACACTGTGAGGGATACATCTATCTATCCCACACTGTGAGGGATACATCTATCTATCCCACACTATTTGCTATACTTTCTATCCTTGAATAACTATAGACTCGACTCCCAATATATCTCACATGGACCAATAGACAGGTGTCGAAAAACAAATAGATATTTAAAAATTTGTTTTACTTTTACTAAAACAAATTCTTTACTCGTAATTAATATTAAAAAAAATTAAAAACTGTTGAACCCAAACATACGATAAGGCTGTGAACATGTTTGGTAAATACGGAAGATAACAAGATTACGCAAACATACATGTTGTTGGGTTATCTTGAGATGATTTCGGGGCTTAGCGTCCCCCGCGGCCCGGTCCTCGACCACACCTCATCGTTGATATAGCAGTATGTGTTCCATGTGGTGGTTATGCGGTGAATTTAATTGGATATGTTGCTGTGAATTACGTTCGTGAGTTGCATTATTTTGTCTTTTTTACAGAATTCTTAGGTAAATATGATTCGAACTCATCTGTATATGTGGTTGAATTCATCTGTATATATGGTCGATTTATCTGCATATGTGGTTGATTCATCTGTATATATGGTCGAATCATCTCTATATATGGTGGAATTCATTGTTATATATGGTGGAATTCATTGTTATACATGTTCTAATTCATGTGTGTGTATATATATATTATATATATATATATAATATAGTATATATATATATATATATATATATATATATATATATATATATATATATATATATATATAATATATATATATATATATCTATATATAGTCGATTCATCAGTATACATGGTTTAATTCATATGTATATATGGTCGAATTCCTCTGTAAACATGGTCGTTTCATCAGTATATATGGTCGAATTACAAGACCATTAAGGAAGAATTAGACCACATTAATAACCACGAAAATACGAAACCAAACCATAAACTGGAGCCATTAAAATTACCAGATAATTTTAATGAAAACTGCCTTCACTAACAGTTTTATAGAACAAACTGTTACAACGAATCAGTATAGTACAAGCCACGTCTTACAAGATGTACCAGCCAATGAACCACAAGGAACAAGCCCTTGTTAAGGATCTGAATTAGTTATGGACTCAAGAAATATCTAGAAAGGGTTTGAGAACAAGGCTAATTTACTCACAGAAAATGGGAAGTACATAGTGAGCAGAAAACAGAGAACTGCAGGTTGAAGAAACTTGTAAGAATGGTGTAAGACTGACCCAGGTTCGAATCCTCGTCACGGCCCTTGTGGATTTGTTCATTTGATGCATCACACTATTGTGATGTCTGTGTGTAGTGTAGTGTAAAGAATGGTGTAGTTTTACAGGCAAACAATAATTTATGAAACATATACACAATGGTATATGTGATGGACTGATGTATGAAATATGTATGATTAAATATGTATGAAATATGTATCATACAGCATAATTTATAATAGTTGTACAAGTAGCAGTATATACAACATTTTTTTATATTTATATTAAAGTGTTTTACAGTCAGATGAGATTAATGAAATAGTGAAAAAGATTATAATGATTAAATTTGAAACATATATTAATATTAAATAACGTAAAAAACGAAGTTATTCATTTATATTAAAATGATTAAGAAAAATGTATATGCAATCCTGTTGATATCTATAAGTAATTAGTTAAGGGACTGCAGTCTAAATTTACTAATTTAGAAACAATTAAAACTAATTCTAACAATAGCCGTTTGTTATACTAGAGATAATCGCTCCATTTCAACACTTAAACGGATTGAAAATGATTAAGCAATTCAATCAGTTACATTAAAATAAATAGTCGTGTATATACATAGAAAACGAGGTTGTTCAATCATTAGATTACGAATCAATTATTGAAAATTTGCTGAACTTAGAGCGAGAAAAGTTCCACTTTAAAATATTATATATAAATGTAAAGCAATTTATATATATTTTATATTTTATATAATCAATATTTTAGATTTCTTCAATATAAAAAAATGTTGACTTTTTGCATAGATGTTTGTTAGTATTTAATAATCCTAAAAGGTTTTTCATAATGGGATTTTATTGAAGACTTCATATCCACGAGATGAATTGAAGGGAAGACAACTATCAGGGGGAAAGCGCCAAGCCATTACGACTATATAGCACTGGGAAGGGGCCAGGATAAGGATTTGGGATGGGACGGAGGGAAAAGAATGGTGCCCAACCACTTAGACGGTCGGGGATTGAACGACATGAACGTCTGATAGAACGACAGGAACGTCTCACAGAACGACAGGAACGTCTGACAGAACGACTTGAACATCTCACAGAACGACAGGAACGTCTCACAGAACGACAGGAACATCTCACAGAACGACAGGAACGTCTCACAGAACGACACGAACATCTCACAGAACGACAGGAACGTCTAACAGAACGACAGGAACATCTCACAGAACGACAGGAACGTCTCACAGAACGACAGGAACGTCTCACAGAACGACAGGACCGTCTCACAGAACGACAGGAACGTCTTCAGACGACTCTAACATCTCACAAGAACGACAGGAACATCTCACAGAACGACAGGAACTTCTCACAGAACGACAGGAACGTCTCACAGAACGACAGGAACGTCTCACAGAACGACAGGACCGTCTCACAGAACGACAGGAACGTCTTCAGAACGACTCTAACATCTCACAGAACGACATGGACGTCTCACAGAACGACAGGGACGTCTCACAGAACGACAGGAACGTCTTCAGAACGACAGGAGCATCTCACAGAACGACACGAACATCTCACAGAACGACAGGGACGTCTCACAGAACGACAGAAACGTCTAACAGAACGACACGAACGTCTAACAGAACGACAGGAACGTCTAACAGAACGACACGAACGTCTAACAGAACGACAGGAACGTCTAACAGAACGACACGAACGTCTAACAGAACGACAGGAACGTCTAACAGAACGACACGAACGTCTAACAGAACGACACGAACATCTCACAGAACAGGGACGTCTCACAGAACGACAGGAACGTCTAACAGAACGACAGGAACATCTCACAGAACGACAGGACGTCTCACAGAACGACACGAACGTCTAACAGAACGACAGGAATGTCTAACAGAACGACACGAACGTCTAACAGAACGACAGGAACGTCT